AAACTCCGTCTCAAAAAAAAAAAAAAAAAAAAGGAAATAATACATTAACCAGGCACAGTGGCTCACGCCTGTCATCCTAGCACTCTGGGAGACCAAGGCAGGCAGATTACTTGAGGCCAGGAGTTCAAGACCAGCCTAGTCAACATGGTGAAAACCCGTCTCTAGAAAAAATACAAAAATTAGCCAGGCATGGTGGTGCAGCCTACCTGGGAGGCTGAAGAATGAGAACTGCTTGTGCCCAGGAGGCAGAGGTTGTAGTGAGATGAGATCACGTCACTGCACTCCAGCCTGGGCAAGAGAGCAAGACTCTGTCATAAATAAATAATTAAATAAATAAAATAAAATAAACAAAGACTGGGAAGAATCCTCATATACAAACAAAAACAATGAACCTAAATGTATTTCAAATGAACAATTCTGAAACTTTCTGTGTGCTGGACTGAGCAAAGGAGTAAATGTATTAAAGATGTTAGGAGGCCGGACGCGGTGGCTCACGCCACAGCACGCCCAGCACTTTGAGGGCCAAGGCAGGTGGATCATGAGGTCAAGAGATCAAGACGATCCTGGTCAACATGGTGAAACTCCGTCTCTACTAAAAATACAATAATTAGCTGGGCATGGTGGCGCATGTCTGTAGTCCCAGCTACTCGGGAGGCTGAGGCAGGAAAATTGCTTGAACGCAGGAGGCGGAGGTTACAGTGAGCCGAGATCACGCCATTGCACTCCAGCCTGGGTAACAAGAGCGAAACTCCTCAAAAAAAAAAAAAGATGTTAGGAGCCAGATTTCCCCCATTGGAGAAGAGAGTTACAATATGGAACTGCAAGTTTGGCAACCACTAGAATAGGACAGCAGCATGAAAGATTCTTCCTCAGGGCTTCCAGAAGGAATCAACTCTCCCAATGTCTTGATCTTGGGTTTCTGGCCTCTAGAACTGTGAGAGAATACATTTCTGTTGTTTAAAATAGAAAGAGAGAGCTGGAGAGGAAGAAAGGAAGGCAAGCAAGCCAGCTAGGGAGAATCCTTTGGTGTTGGAATAGAATTGAAAATGTGAAGTTGTTCTCTTAAATATATATACACAAAAGAGAAAACTAAATAAATTAGATTGATTTTAAAACATATATTTATATACAGAAATAGATGCATGTGTTTGTGTATATGTGCCTGTGTGTATGGTGTGTATGTGTGTTTCCAGCTGTACACATGGGAAGAGCCTAGAAGCAATGTCATCTCAGTGGGAATGATCACACCTGTGTCTCATGGAAAAGAACCTTGCTCCTTGGAGAAGAGCCTAGGGCTGGGGTGGAGAAAGTGCAATGAAACCTGGAACATCTTGATGTGCCAGGAAATAAGAAAGTGCTCACAGGCTGGGCGGGGTGGTTCACGCCTGTAATCCCAGCACTTTGGGAAGCAGAGGAGGGCGGGTCATTTGAGGTCAAGATTTTGAGACCAGCCTGACGAACATGGTGAAACCCTCCCTCTACTAAAAATACCATTAAAAAAAAAAAAATAGCTGGTCATGGTGGCATGTGCCTGTAGTCCCAGCTACTTGAGAGACTGAGGCAGGAGAATTGGTTGAACTGGGAGGCGGAAGTTGCAGTGAGCTGAGATCGCACCACTGCACTCCAGCCTGGGCGACAGAGACTCTGTCTAAAAAATAAAATAAATAAAGTGCTAAAAAAATAATGGGGATATGTAAGGATATGGGAAACAGTTATTAGGATAAAATGCTGGGCAAAGTTGGGATGATTTAAGCATCAAAATAGATCATGGTAGTGATGGACCCACTGAATAAAATAAGAATCCTCGAGTTCACAATGGTTATAAATAAATGAATGGATAACAAGAAAAGCTCTTTCATTTTTTATTCTTTGTAGAGATGGGGTTTCACCATGTTGGCCAGGCTGGTCTCAAACTCCTGGGCTCAAGTAACCCTCCTAATAGCATGAGCCACTATTCCTGGCACAACTGTCTGTAAGTTTGAAACTATACCAGAATTAAAAGCTACCTCTCACAGGCTCACACACAGGCAAAACTAATACAAGATAAAAGGTCCCACTAAGTGCCCAGCATAAGGAGTGGAACAAGTCGCATGCCTGTGTGGCAGGTGACTTCCCCCAACACACTTAGCCTTCTTCCTTGCTAAGTGGCCCTGAATTTTAGTACCAGTAGATTTTTTAAAAATAGAACATGTTGGCCGGGCGCGGTGGCTCAAGCCTGTAATCCCAGCACTTTGGGAGGCCGAGGCGGGTGGATCACGAGGTCAAGAGATCGAGACCATCCTGGTCAACATGGTGAAACCCCGTCTCTACCAAAAATACAAAAAATCAGCTGGGCATGGTGCCGCGTGCCTGTAATCCCAGCGACTCAGGAGGCTGAGGCAGGAGAATTGCCTGAACCCAGGAGGCGGAGGTTGCGGTGAGCCGAGATCGCGCCATTGCACTCCAGCCTGGGTAACAAGAGCGAAACTCTGTCTCAAAAAAAAAAATTAGCTGGGTGTGGTGGTGCACACCTATAATCCCAGCTACTCAGGAGGCCGAGGCAGGAGAATCACTTGAAATTGGGAGGCAGATGTTGCAGTGAGCTGAGATCCCCCCATTGCACTCCAGCCTGGGCAATAAGAGCAAAACTACTTCTCAAAAAATAAAATAAAAGAAGAAAGTGTGTTCCGCTAAATAAGAAAAAAACGAGTGTTGTTGAGTGAATGAGTGAATCAGTGAATGGGGAGTGAATGAATAGACCGAACAGGTGAGTAAAATGAGAATGAACTGAGGCTTCCCCTCAGGTGCCAAGCCTTTTCATCTACAGTTCCCCTGCACCTGTAGCCACGCCCACTCAAGGGCGGGGGCTCAAGATGCCTTTTTTATGGCTGACCACACCTTGGCAGCCGGGCTGGCCAAAGTACATTTTCTCAGGAGTCCAGGCCAGGGGATTCCTGCTACTTCCGCATTTCCATTGCCCCCACCTGCCCTGGTTCTTGAAGAAAGACACACCAGCATGCTGGGAAGGCAGTGTCAGCCTGGCAGCCAGGTGAGCCAGGTCCAGTGCCAGGCCTGTGCCTGGCTGGCCATGTGACTAGTGGTAAACATTTCACTTTTTAAGGCCTCAGTTTCCCTGTTTGCTCCTTTAAGCGGCTTGGCCAAATCCATGGTTCACAATCTTGGCTCACATTTAAATCAGCTGGGAACCTTTACAAAGTTCTGGGGCTCAGACTGCATCCAGCTAAGTCAGACTGTAGGGTGGGACCTGGGTATCCACAGTTTTTAGAGCTTTCCAGGCGACTTCAACGCATACCACGTTTGAGAGCCAGTGGGCTATGATCGCCATAGCTCCCTCCAGCATTTTTTTGGTTTTGTTTTGTTGTTGTTGTTTTGAGATGGAGTTTTGCTCTGCCGCCCAGTCTGGAGTGCAATGGCGCAATCTCGGCTCACTGTAACCTCCACCTCCCAGGTTCAAGCGATTCTCCTGTCTCAGCCTCCCGAGTAGCTGGGACAACAGATGCATGCCACCACGCCCAGCTAATTTTTTGTATTTTAGTACAGACAGGGTTTCACCGAGTTGCCCAGGCTGGTCTCAAACTCCAGAGCTCAGCCAATCCACCTGCCTTGGCTTCCCAAAGTGCTAGGGTTATAGATGTGAGCCACTGAGCCCGGCCAGATCTCTCCAGCTTTTTGATGCTGAGGCCCACCCTGATGCCCCGTCTGTTTGCCCCGTCTTTTGTCACTGGAGGGTTAAATGAAATGTGAGCGTCACCAGAACATCTGGGTTCCTATCCTTGCACCTCCTCCTGTCTTCAGCCTGCCTTTGAGGCAGTAGCCTCACCAGGACTTTGACCAGCCCCACCCATTCTTCACTGAACCTCTTGCTCCAGCTTCTGCCTCTTCCATTTTGATGTCTAGAATCAGGGGATCCAGGATCATCACCAAGGCCACCTTCCCAGGTATGGAGGGGTCTTCCTGCTTCTTTCTTGTCACACACAGCTGCTGAGGAAGGGGCTGGGAGAAAAGAGCAAAATGGAGAGAAGGAAGAGTCCATTCAAACCGAGAAACAAAATGTTTGGTTTGTCTTATCTTTTTTTTTTTTTTTTTTAGACGGG